TGGCCTCAAGTTACGCCAGGGGAAATTTAGGTCAGATATCAGGAAAAATTTCTTTCCAGACAGGGTTGTGAGGTATTGGAACAGGCTGCCCAGGGAGGTGGTGGAGCCCCCATCCCTGGAGGTGTTGAAAAACCGTGTGGATTTGGTGTTGAGGAACATGGTTTAGGGACCCTGACAGTGCAGGGTGAATGGTTGGACTCGATGATCTTGAGGGTCTCTTCCAACCAGATGATTCTATGAAGAGTGAATACCTTTAACTTCACTTTTTTTCTTTTTTTAAAAAAAAGGTAAATATGTTAAGGAGTCGGAGGAAGTCAGGAGGGGTCTTCTAAATACCATAGAAGGAAAAAATAGTTCCCTTGGAAGACAGCTTTCTCCTGTTGCGTTCCATGTCTCCGCTTTTCAGATAAGAAGGCGGAAATCGACAGCCTGGCGGCAGAGTACGTCGACTCCGTGAAGAACATGTTACCCGAGGAGCGAGTGGAGCACCTGCGGAAAATCCAGAGCGCCTACAGCAAATGCAAAGAGTACAGCGACGACAAAGTGCAGCTGGCCATGCAGACGTACGAGATGGTGAGGATCCCAACCAGTGAGCCTTTTGTACTCTGGAGTGGGGCTGCTGGTGGACGTGGAAGATGCTTCCGCAGCGTCCGTTTTCCCTGATGTATTAATGTTTTTACTTAAATATTTTACTGGAACAAATTCTTAGTCCTCAAACTTGTTTTTCTTACTGTTGTCCTCACAAAAAAGCCTCCTCTTGTCTTAGCAGGTTTCGTGTCAAGTCGTTTCCTCTTCTGTTGAGGAGTTTAAATGAGTTTATCCCACTTGGAGGTTGCTTGATCGATAGTGCCTGTCTGCTGTGGAATAAGAGCAGCAAATTTACCCCACTCCCTCCTCCCCAGCAGCTCCCCTGTCACCCAGGAGTTTACTTAGAGCTGGTCTTACTCATAAGCAACGTTTTTGAAGTCAACTTCCATATTATATTGTGGAGTAGTGGAGGGAAATCTGCTCAGTTACTTTGGTTTCCAAGGGACAAAAGAATGGAGATGCATCAGCCCTGCCTGACTCTCCTTGGTGGACCTGGTGGGAAAATCTCACTTCTTCAGAAGCAGCTTTCCACTTTTCTCTTCTTCTGCCACTACTCCTGTGTCCATTTAGCTGTCTCTTGAATAATTCTTGCCTTTGTGTGTTTACCCCCTAGATAAAACTTGACCAAGGGGAGTCCTTTTGACTGTAATTAGCGTGTTCCATCCAGCTTCTAGAGGTGCTTTGGGTTCTGTTACATCTGCAGCTCCAGTATTGCCCATCAAATACTGCAGAAAAGTAGATGATTTCACAGGGATTGAAAAGTGTCCCAGACAACCACTGATGGAAGGACGAGGTAGTGCAGCAGCACGGTTTGGGGGTGGTGGCTTTAAATATTTGTGCTACGTCGCTGTTCTGTAAGCCACATTATTGCCACCAGGGTGGTGCAAGGTACTCACCTGATGTATTGACCTGAGGTTGGAGATGGTCAGTGGTCACCTGCCTGTGTTTATTACTGAATTTCTTCCAACAGCATGCTAGGGAAACGCCAGAAAAACAGGTGGATCTACATTTCAGGGGCGTTAGTTGAATAATGTATTTTGAAAACTGCAGAGAGAAAACAGGGGTTTTTTAATATCTCTTCTTGTCTTGTTTTGTTCTGCAAACTGTTAGTCTGAGTTGCTTTCACTCTCCTCCTCCCCCCTCTTTTCCTTCCTTTCTCTCCATAGAGGGATTGGGTCCTCTTGCTTTTGCCTGTTTTCCTTGGGCTTTTTGGTTTTCTCTCCACCTTAGTTCCCGTTGCACGTGCCATTTCCCTTTCCCAGTTTGGGACCCGTTTCACGCCTTGCTCTGAAGCAGTATGCTCCTGCTCATGCCGGTAACGGCCAAGTTATTCGATCTTCCTGTTTCCGTTGGGGATTTTCTTTTTTTTTTATTTTTAATTCAGCTCACGGTGTCCCATTCCGTGCAGGTGGATAAGCACATCCGCCGGCTGGATGCAGACTTGGCACGCTTCGAAGCGGATCTGAAAGATAAACTGGAAGGCAGTGATTTTGAAAACCCTGGATCTCGGAGCCTGAAAAGTGCGTGAATTCTACACGTTTGCCAGCCTTTTCCAGCACTGAGCCTGTCTAACCAGAAGGGGTTTAAAGGGAGCTGTTATTCCCGGAGGAAGAACTGACTTACTGTCTCTGCTTGCTGGATCATCCTGAGGTGGCCCACGGTTACTGGTTGTAAGGAGGCTGCTGGCTAAGAGGGCACTAACTGAGTGCCCTCTGCATTGAGGGCACTGAATTTGAACTGAATTCTTGCAGCTCTTGAGTGTAACAGCCTCAGTGTCAGGCTCGGTCTGGTTACTGAGTAAGTTGTGAGATCTTTTTGAGGAGAAGAGGTTTTCCTGTTTTCCTCCTCTTACTGGAATTTGAATGCTCATCAGGCTGGGAAGGGCAGGGGTGATCAGCAGCTACAAGGAGGGTGACAGTTTCTGTAATGTGTACTAGAAATGATTTCATGTCATATGATCAGAGTGAAATTTGAGCTGTGGTTCACAGGGGCGCAGCTTTATGCCTTTGAACTGTGAAATAAGAGGTAAGGTCAGGGATGTGGAAATAATTAGTTACTCAGTAACTAACATAACTGGCTGAGTTTAAAAATATAATGATGTTTTTTTTAAAAAAATTACGACACGTCTAATCAGATATGATGCTGTTTATGTCTGTGCAACAATACGGGCTGATGTTGTACTGCAGTGATTTAATTGTCAAAACTGGGAGCGCAGGAGTTTACTTGCTACCTTGGCATGTTTGTGGCATAAAAATATATTTCAGAACCAGCATTCGTGTTCAATTACATATGAAAGAAGGATTTCAAACCAATAAAGGCATCGAAAGACAAACATTCTTCTGGCACTCAAATAAATGGAAACGATGGGATTTTTTTTTTCCTTTACAGAGGGACGAAGTCAGAAAGACAAAAGAGGCTCTCGCGGCCGGGGCAGGCGAACGTCTGAAGAAGACACACCAAAGAAGAAGAAACTCAAAGGAGGGTAAGGCACACCCGGTCACAGCTCCGGTGACTTTGGCTTGGCACTTGATGAATTTTCCGGAAGCTCATGTTCCCCTATTTATGACTCCTGTCTGGATGGTGGGCGGTGTTGGAGTGTTCGGGTCTTATTCCGTTTCATTAGTGTCCTGCTTAGGATGAGTCAGCTCTGTTGATTAACTCCTTGCTTGGCATGTGGAAACTTGGCATGCTTGGAATGCCCTCTGGAAGGACAAGATCAGCGTCTCTGCCGCTGTTGGCAAGCTGGGAGAAAATAGATTTGATTTTTGTCGTGCGGCTGTTTTTAACAGTTGCTTGTAGCCTTGGTTGTAAAAAGAAACACTTGCCCATTGAGACAAAACCCGGTGTTGTGTTGTTGTTCTAGACATCTTGGAGAGTTTTGGGGGTTGTTTTCGAACAATCATGTCCTAAATAGTCTTGAGTAATCTGATTTGGTTTCGTGAAGCGCAGAAGAATCCTCTCTATCATATGGTTTGTATCAGAGGGGCCCTGGTAATTTTAATTTTCCAGTTGGCTAAATAGTGGGACAGAAAAGAAGAAAAGTAGTTTCCACTGAGTGTTACTGACATGTCAACTTAATACATTCCTATCAGAGCAAGGGGGTTCACTGATACCTGGCAAGGAGAAAAAAAATATATGTATTAAAACTGATTTTGGGGGAAAAAAAAAATCAGATTCTTCTGTCCGCAAGCAGAAGTGATCTGTATGTTGGTTTTGTTACTGTAGTCAAGGAATCATGGAATGGTTTGGGTTGGAAGGGACCTCAAAGATCATCTAGTTCCAGCCCCTCTGCCATGGGCAGGGACACCTTCCACTACACCAGGTTGCTCAAAGCCTCATCCAACCTGGCCTTGAACATTTCCAAGTAGTCATGGCATCTACAAATCATTCTCTTAATCCTTTATAGTCAAGCTCATTAATCACTGGATAATATGTGATAATGTAATCTAAACCCTGAAGCAGAGTCAGTGTGTTTTGGGGAAGATGATATTGTTAAAGACTGATTTTCCTGAGTGGGATTCACATCTTGGAAACGTGGTGTCGCCTACAACTGAGAAGTGTTTTATCGTCCGTCTGTCCTTGTCCACAGATCTGAGTTTGCTGATACCATCCTGTCGGTGCATCCCTCGGATGTCCTGGACATGCCAGTGGACCCCAACGAACCTACCTACTGCCTGTGTCACCAGGTGTCCTACGGAGAAATGATTGGCTGTGACAACCTAGACGTAAGCCTAGCTGATTTCTTTTCAGGTGTTTGCAACATCACAGCACTGTGAAATCTGAGGAGGAGGGCGGGTACTTGCTCAATTAGATCGTACAAAACGAAAGGAACGTTTGTGAAACGCTGAACTTCTCACTCTGTGGGTTTTTCCTTTCTTGCTTTTCAGTGCCCGATTGAATGGTTCCACTTCGCTTGCGTGGACCTCACCACCAAACCGAAAGGGAAATGGTGAGTATGACAATGTACAGCCCTTTGAACTTTTATCAGGCTACGATTTGCAGCGATAAGCATCACGATAAGCATGAAAACCCTGTTGTGACCCTTCCTGACGGAGGAGCTTTGCTCTTGTCAGCAGGGGGTTTGCATCCTCTGTGGGTTGGGGCTGTGTTTGTGTGAAGGTAGAAGGGCAGCCTTCTTCCTGTAGGCTGCTTCCACAGGAGTCTTGATTGCTGTGGATTGTGGTGGGAGCAAAGCAAGGACCCAGGTGTATGCAAAATTGCATGAGCAGGTTTTGATTTGAGGCTTCTGCACACGTGTGCATGTTACATCTCAGGTTTGCTGTATTATCACCTAGTTCTGGCCGTGGTTAGAACTGAGGAGAGACATGTATGTATTAATTTTTTTTTTTTTACTTCTGGGAGCAAAGTTTGAAGACTGCTCGAGGTTTGCTTATGTATGTGCTCATCTTGGAAAGATTCATAGGCTTGTTCCGTACTTACTTTCTGTTTGATGGACTGATCTCATCTGATGAACGAGGTGGCTATTGTGGTTTAACCCAGCTGGCCACTAAACACCACCCCGCAGCCACTCGCTCACCCTTCCCTAGCCCCAGGAGATGAGGAAAAGAATTAAAGGGGAAAAGGGAAGGAGACTCATGGGTTGAGATAAGAACAATTTAATAATCGAAGTAAAATAAACTAAAAATAACAATGTGTGATCATACATCAAATGATGATAATGCATACAAACAAGTGATGTGCGGTGTGATTCTTCACCACCCGCTGATCAACACCTGACCTGTCCTGGCTAGTGATCCCAAAGCAGAGAAGTCCCAAAACTGCAATCCCAGAAGAGTGAGAGCCCCGAAAAGAGATCTGAAGAAAGTGAGAGCGCCTCATAAACTTCCCAGACAACCCTCATCCATATACTGGGCATGACATTGCATGATGTGGAATATTCCGTTGGCCGGTTTGGGCCTCAGTCCTCCGTCTGTACTCAAATCCTGAGCTGGGAGTTGTGGGTCCTCTGTCCCAGCCGTGCTTCCCACCAGCCTGGTGTGCTCCTGCACGCTGCCAGAACACGGGCAGCTGGAAAGTCCTTGAGGTCTCAGCAACACCCATAACCATCAGTGTGTTGCCGACATTATTCTTACACCAAATCCCAGACCGAATCCAAAACACAGCACACTTCTAGGTGCTGAAAACTGACTTTGTCAGGAACTAATCACTGCCTCTTCTTTTCCCTGCAGGTTTTGTCCTCGTTGTGTTCAGGAAAGAAAGAAAAAGAAATAAGGAGTAGAGGGGAATGCGTCCTCTGAGGCAAGAAGAATTTAATATATTTCTTCATTCACGTTGCAATATTATCTTTTTTTTTTTTTTTTTTAACCTACCTTCCTTTGTTTTCTGGTATGATATTTAATTGCCAGTTGTAATTCCTGTCCTTTCACAAGAAAAGGACTTTGGGAGGGAGGGGATGTGCCATGGGGATTTTATTTAAGTTACACTTGCACAGCACTGAAATTGGTGTTACTGCGAAGTGCTCGGGCAGCCGGGAGCTGCAGTCTGTGCCAGTTTGTAGGAATCTGTGAACGAAACCACGTCAGGCATTGCAGCAGAACGAGGTACCTGTGTCCTCAGCATCGGCATCATCGAAAGAGTTTAGGCCTGGAGCTTAGCATGGTAGGGAAGAAGGAATTTTTCTCCAGCATAGCCTGCAGGAGAGAAGTAGGCTCCGTTGTTAGGGCGCGAAGTCGGTTTGTCGTGCAGTGGTGTAGTGCAGAAAGGAACAGGAAAGCTGGTTGGCTGTTTCCAGCGTTTCTTGCCTCAAAGCCAAGTACTGTGCTTAGTTTCAACAGGGCAGGGATGGGAGAGAGGTGTGATCCTGTCTTCTCTTTTGGGGAGTTTCTCCTGTCTGCCTTTGCACTGCCTTGATTCTCGATCTTGCCTTCATTCACGTGAACCTTAACAGAAAGAAACCGTCAGACTTTTCATCTCCTTCCAGAAAAGGTTTGTCTCTTTTGGGAGAAAACCTTTAAAATAGCGAAGGAATTGTTCTGCACTGCTCCTTAGTGACAGCAACACTGAGAGAGCCTGTTATCTTTCCTGGCTGTGTCCGTTTCCCTGAAGATCCTTTAAGTACGTTACTGTGAAGACGAAACCTACAGTGTTCTTGCAGAGATAGAAGGTGGGATTTATTAATAAAATAAGATGAAGGCCTCATTCTTGTTACTTCTGCTTGCCTGTCTTGCACCTTGCATACATCAGGAAAACAAGCTTTAAGGGGAGGCTCCGTGAGGACGATGCGTACCCGTCCGTGATGGTGCAAAGCTGAAGGGCGGCGTGTGACAGCTTGGTGGGGTTTTTGAATAGCATCTCCTCGGAAGCACTGCTGTTGAAGCAAGCTATTCAGTAGGAAATATTTAAAATTACGTCTTATCTTCCTTTTTTTTTTTTTTTAGCAGGGGCATATTTGCATATTCTTGACTTCTTTAAGCTGCCTTTCAGATGATGAATGTGAATCCTTGCTGTCCTGACCGTGTCAGTTGCTGCAGCGGAAGGAAAAGAAGGGAAATCAGGATTAGGAAGACAAAAGTCTTTCTGGTTTTTCCTTCCTCTGAGCTATAGTGGATCCAGAAGTTGAGGGAAGAGCAGAGAGAACTCTTGTCTTCATAGATATCTCCTGTACTACAAGGCTTCCCCACCTGCAATAAGAGATGTTGTGGGGAAAGGTGGTTCTGCTGGAGGAGGGGAGGGGAAAAAAAAGCCCCAAACCAACCCCCCCTGCAGCAGTACAGCCCAGGGCTCATGAACGTGGCCAGCTGTGGTCCCTGACGGATTTTGGGGGCCACTCTGTGCAGAGCTGTGTACTGCTTTGCATACCATTGTGCAGGAGCTCTTGGTATAGACTGCTGGAAAGGCAGAACAAACTTCCAGATGAGCTTTTGTTCTGCTGTAAAAACAATCTGAGTAAACAGTAGGGAAGGGAAAAAAAAAAAACCATGAATCACTTCTAGTCAGGTTGTGGCACCTGTTTCCAAAAGAAAAAAAGGGTTTGGGTTTGGTTTTTTTTTTATTTCCCTGTTTTACTGACCCTTTTCTTTGTGTTTTGCGATGAAAGAAAGTAGAACACGGCTCTTGCCAGTTTTCCTTCCCTGCTTTGCTCCGTTGGGCTTTGCAGATGCTGCAGGTACGTCAAGACTGACATAGAAGAAACCTCTTGATACCGAGACAGTTTTTCTGTGAACATTTTGATTTATTGCATCTGCTATGGGGGGGAAAAAAAAACCCTAAGCTGTCTCCAGGGTCCTTTTGTTTAAAGCATGGTGCTGCACGTGCCTTCGCTGCGTCGCATCACTCCGTGAAGTTTCCCCAGTGATGTTTACAAGATGATGTCATCGTTGCTGTTGTAATAGCACCCGGAGAGCATGCAGACTAACCGAAAGCGGATTGCTGGAGGGAAGAGGGAGGAAAAGCACAGTCACACGAACCTGGACCTTTAGGATTTCTTTCCGCCTCCTTTCTGGAGAGTAAATTGAAGGGCAATACCTTGTGAGCCATCCTGTAGAGACCTGTACCTCATTGCCCTGCCACACTGGATTGATGTAGGAGCATCTGATGTGTCCTGCGGACTGGTGTCGATGCCATTCCAGGTTTTATTTTCCCCTTCCATCCAATGGTATTGTATACAACTTTTTTTTTTTTTTTTCCCCTTCACTTTAGGCTTTATTAGTAGCGTGTCAACAGAGATTAAGCGTTTGATTTGCAACTATCTCACAATTCCATCACACCTCTCTGGAGGCCTTACTGGAAACGCGTAGCTGTGGGTGAGGCAGGGTGAAGCTGAGCGCCCTCAGCTCAGGACAGATGGTCAGGTAGGATGGCAAAATGCGTTCCATCAGCCAGTGCTTTCCGGGGCTGGGAAGTGCAGGAATTTTCTGGTTTAACCAGCACAGCAAAAAGAAAAATACGCTCTAGAGGTCAGCATCAGGTGCAGAGGAAGAGATACTTCGCAGGAATCGTGAGCGGTGTGAGATGCGACGTACTCCTCTTCGTTATGATGTAACGTCTCGACGTGTCAGAACTCCTGACGCCACCCACCAGCAATAACCCGTCCCGCTCCGAACCAGCACGGGGGCTCCGACGGGCTCAGGAGCGACTCTTGGCCACGGGCACCTGACTTTGGAGATTTGTAAGACTCCTTAGAGACAGAAACACCAGTAGCCTTCATTTTTTTGCTTACGGAAGGATTTAAATCTTTCTCCTGAGTTTTGAATGTACAGTGTTAAATATACTTTTCTGGAGGAGGGTGAACGAGACTGTGATACACAAAAAGGAATGTTCCACTAAAGATTGTCCGAGCACCCAAATACCCCGCGGGGCTCAGCTTTATTGCAGCGCGTCCAAACTGGAGGTGAAATGACTTTAAACCTGATTGTTCTATTTTTTTAAAGGAATTTGATCTATGTTCCCTTTATAAATGTGAGAGGATATAAATCTTTTTATTAAAAAAAAAAACGGGAAAAAAGAAAAAAAGGGGGGGGAAGGGGGAAAAAAAAGAAAAAAGGCGGGGAAGGAAGAAAAAGGAAAAAAAGGGGGGGAA